AAGTCAGCGTGATAATGGAATGCTCAACGTGCTAAATCATTGTTAATCAATCAACTATTAATACATAGACAGAACCTGATGAGCAGTTTTGCTAACTCTACAGCTACTCATAATAAATAATACTTGCTTGGATGTTCCAGAAGAAATTGCTAATTATAGGAAAGCAGCAAATATATTTATTCAAAATAATGAAGTTATGTAGTTTGGCAACATGCAATGATGAACATAAAATCCAAACTATGATGAGGTAATTGGTGGCTAAGCACTCACACACACAAACACACATATGAGAGAATGTTCCGCAAAAATAGATGCAAGACATGTTAGCATTTAACTGTGTCAAGTGTGAATGACAATTGTTTTTGAAACACTCTTAAAGCGTGTCAAAAAAAATTAGCTTGCAAAGCACCAGCCAATGTAGGAACACATTAAGCTAGATGTGATGGGTGTAGCATATTGTTAAAAGTATATATTTTAATAAAGTGGGAAGGAAATGAAGAGAGAGGAGAAGAGGAGGAGAAGGAGACAAAGAGAGGGGTTTGCCAACCTATAGTAGGCTGAGTGGTAATTGAAGAGTTTGATTCCGAACGTAACATTTTACTCCCGTGATGATGAACTAGAAAAAATGACACAGGACATGGGTCACATTAAAGAAAATCGTTAGCAGGAGAAGAAATCAAGTATAGCAGCTGCATATGCAAGAGACTCAGAGCACCAGGCCAAAAGACAGGACTCAGAGCAAAAGCTGTCTCTAAGTGCTCCGAGGTGAGTTCTCAAACATCTTCTAGGCAAAAAGGAAATAGTGGCTGGATAGACTCAGCTGCAGTCCCAAGTATACTTGTGTAACACTATTTATCTGCTGACATAAAGAAGTAATATAGGCTAGAATTATTTTATATAACTAGGTCCAGTACTTTTAAAGCTGTTTATTACAACAGTTCTTTGAGATGTGATTTATCTGAATGCATGAGAAGCCCTTGCTGGAAATGCAGATTTGCTGGGTGAAGTGCTTAAGGAAAAGCCTGAACCCGCACCAAGTGACATCAGCAACTACTTTGCATCAATGACTTCAACAAGACTAGGATTAGGTACCAAAATGCACAACATCCAATGTCTGGATGATTTCATACAGATCAGTATTCCTTTAGACCCACTGTGTTGACTTACTCATCTGCTCATGTATTTCCCATGAAAAAGGGACAAAGTACTATAGAAAACACTATAGAGGTACATAGAATACAAGGTTTATTAATGACGAGGGGATAAAGTTCCAAAGGACTCTTAATCTGAGGAATAAGGAATTCCAATAAATCCTGCTTAGATAGTTACTAAGTATCGCATCTTTCAGTGTTGACCCAAGTCTGCCTGCCAATAGGCCCGAGAAAAATGTTTGGGATACACCAGAACTAACCAAGTTGATCCTTCAATGAAGTCAGGTATCTTGAAGCACATTTCACTTTCCACTATCGTGCACTTTGGAGGAACAGGAGTAGAAAGCTATAAAGTAAGGATGGCTCTGCAGGCATGAATGACTTCCCTATAGTAGCAGGTGCAGAATCAGGTGCTAAATTTCAGTTAGACCTGTGGTCCAACACCAATAAATGTAACATTATTGTTACATTTCTGTAGTAAACAACATGTAATATGTTGGTAAGCAAAAGAACTATTTTTAATACTGCTGAAAAACTCAGATGTCATCGCTTTATGACATTATGTTAAGTAGTCTTACGCTTACCTTTTAAGGCCGTAGACAAAGGTTTCTAGGCCTTAGTGACACAGTGTCTGCCTTTACAGGGTTTTGTGGTAGCTTCTTTTTGGACTTAGCATGACAATTTGGACTTAGCATGACAATTTCTACAAATACAAGCTCTCCACCCTCCCAAGGTCTGTATCAAACTATTTAGAAACCTTGGTCCCAAAGTAAAAGCTGTGTGAGACAGCTGACACTGGAGTAAGGTCTACAGTACAGCTGATGTCTCTGTCTTCACTAGCTCGTTTGCCTCTCCTGAACTCCTCTGTGCTGTTCTTATGCTGTTACAATATTCATTATGATTCTGTAGAATTCCTGAGAGGTAAAAATGCTGTAAACTTAATGCTGCTAGTTAATAGGATATAATTACCTCGTTACTGAATGTCAGCTCACTCTGAACACAGTCATTATACTTTCTGCAATTTTACTACTCTGGCTATTGTTTGACTTGTATCTCTCCCATTCCCTTCACAAATGGCTTCTTTCCTATCTCCAGCTGTTCCTCCAAGAACGGTGCCAGACAGAGCTTACTTTCCCACCACAGAAGCAGACTTTCTGACATACTAAGATGTCATTGCACTGCTGTAAAACAATGCACTTGATACAATGCCCTGGAGGGCATGGTGATAGAGCGCTCTCTGCTCCCCCAGAGCACAAAGTCCTCCTGACCAGAGCATTTTCCACCTGCTTTGTACAAGGCTCTGCGAAGCGGTTCTGGGGAGGATGCCAATGAAAAGACAGTTACAAAGGCAGAGCTTGAAAGCCTCGGTGCAGCCACTGGCCTGAGAACTTTTTTTTTTTTTCTGGTGGTGTTACTCTTCGATTGAAATCATCTTATTTTGATTTATTGCCTGAAAATTTCTTTCTTGCTGAGAAGGTTTTGTTGGACATTTCTGCGTGCTGTTTCTGCCAAGTCATACAAGCAGCTTACATGCCATAAACTCTATCTGGGCTAAGTTCAATTCTTAATTACACCACTCTAACAGTGGAGGAACTGTGCAGAAGACACCACAGTTATTCTAGACACACATCAGTGCAAGTGAAGAGAATCTTAATCATGGGATTTAAAGTTTACAGGAACAGATCATTACGTGACATTTAGTGAGATGATGTTTACAGAACTGGCATTTTATACAATTCAATCTCCATCTTGAGACAACGAACAGTGACTGCATCCAAACAATTATCCGCATGTCGATTTTAACAGTGGTGTTACGTACCCCTGCAAGGATCATTTTTCACTAAGAACTCATCAAGTGCCATCCAGCCACCTCCGACACGAACCATGACTGTACTTCTTAGGATGCGAACAAGGCGCAGTTGTTGAGAGTCACCAAACTGCAATAAAAATCAAACAACAGTTTCAGGTTCTCAGTCATTCCAGATGCAGTTCAATGTTGACAGGTTAAAAATCAGACACTTTAAAAAGTTTATTTTGATATTTAATTATTAGTAAATGCTAAAAAATCATATTTATTTATGCAGATTATTAAAGCTGTTAAGATTTCAAATCAGATGCCGCTGCATTAATCCAAAGGAGATGGCAGGATGGTAAGAAAGAATCTCAGGTTTAATTTTATGCTCGATTCGCAAATGTCTGAGCTCATAAAGGAAGCAAAATTAGTAACACATTATTTAATTGGTTACGATCTGCATTTGTGCAAATTAATGAAGACGCATTTGCATTATTTCACTGTTAATATCTTAACGCAAACTCTCTTCTGCAACAGTCTAGATTTTAAGATGTCAGCTGAAAGGAAGGCAGCATCGCTTTAAATGATCAGTATGCGGGCTAGAAATGCAATTTGCACAGTTCTATCAATTGATTCATTTATAGGGATATTTTCAAATATAGCGTTGACACTGCTCACCTATAGCGAGGTGCATGTGGGGAAGGGAACATTAAAGAAGTAATGAATGATTGATAGCTATAATTCTTCTCCTTTGTTATAAACTGTTTGTCACTCCTCTGTCTACACATCAAGGCTCTTCACAATTCAGAGATGCACAAAAACCTGTTTCATACTAACTCTTGCACCAGCCCATTATTCCTTTGGGCTGATGGCCAGGCAGGCCTAATGTATATTTTGCTCTTGAAACCCGAATAACAAAATCTGTATGCAGTATCCCCGTTCAAATCTGGACACAGAGAACACGACCAAAATGTTGACCCCATGATCTCATGAAAACTAACCAGAAGAATTCAGTACTTTTTAGCTGATGCCACTAAAACATATTGGTATTGGATCATCAGGCCAAGTGTAGTGTTCTCACACGCAAACTTGCAGAGCACTCACTGAAACCAACGGGAGTCAAATACACCTCTTTGGGACAATGCTGGACCCTTGGAGAAGGCTGGCCATAGTTCAACTGCACCTGCTTGCTCCAGTGAGGGGACTGAAATGCTTTAAATGCAAACCACACAAACGTGCTCCCTACTTGTTAAATTACTTTAGTTTGATACTATTTAAGCCAAGAAGAGAGAATAAGTTTAAAGGAATATTACTTCTAGGAACCAAACAAAAGCAAAGCTTGCCACTTGATTCAGTAATAGTTTTTTTTTTGTTATAAATAAGAACATTCACATGAGCATTATTTGTAAGGGCTTTTTAATAATGCATTCAATATGTGCTGAACAAAGAACCATTATACATATGTAGATCAAAGTTAAAATAAGAAATGGCATCCAAATTGATGCAGTTTATTTTCATTGGCTTGTTTCTACAGAGAATTTTTTCTAGAGGTTCTAAAGATACTATCTTTTTTCTTTGTTTTTTCCCCATCACAGCTTAATTCTTCAGTTAGACCCCATCAGGCAACTATGCAGTTGCCTGTGCAGTATTCTTTGGAAATTGCCAACCTAGGCTGTGGTTAATTCAGACAGTGGGGCTCCTGGAAAATAACACAGGCATCTGTCTAGGCATTTTTCCTAATGGTAACTCAGTCCATTTCCTTCCTAAAACAGCCTGGATACCAACTTTCCTTGAACAGTATTTACTGATGTTTCAAATAATCAGAGGTAAAACCACTGGAATAAAAACGTAAAGGAAGCCTCGTTTAAGCTACGAAAAGGCCTGTTCTTGACAATAGCCATATAACACCACTGTCACTAGAGAAGCCCCAGCCAACTTGCTGTAGGTGGTTTTTACTATGATGCTGTTCTGCACCAGTAAAGAGTTAGATGCTCTCAAAAAATACTGTATTTTTCCCACATCTGAACGTACAGATGGCAGATAAGAGGATTAACATAACTTCAAATAGTCTTTTCAAATAGAGGCTTGTTCTATATGTGGAAAACATTTTAAATTATAACTTAGACATATTGCTTGAGGCATGTGGTAAGATTATCCACTGTTCTTTGTGCTATTTTCTATACTTCAACAGATTTTGCCAATAAATAGGAATGCAATTACATTTTCAACATCTCTAGATTTTAAATGGCTAATGCTGTTAACAGTAGCATCTCCAGAATGGATTATAGATATTATTGCCTTTATAAGAGCAAGAGTAAGATACTAATGGTATCTGGTACCTGGTTTGAGTAAAGTATTTCCATTCTTACCAGGCAAGCATGATTTAACAACTTAAGAAGCCGTGTATCAGTATATACCACAGGAGTCAGTGGGCACTGGTAAGTGTATCCTCCTTGTACCACTATACAGTGCCACTGCGGTATGACTCACTGATGACCCAACTGACAAAGAATACACAGCTCCGATACATTATAGACCTGCCTTAGCTCTTTGAAAACACTTTGGGAGAGGGTATAGTCTAAACTGGAACAGCGAATTTTATTTGCCTATTTCCAAAATATCTATTTAATGATTCATTGCATTAGTATATAAAATACCAACAATCAGCTAGGTTCTTAATCAGTCTGCTTGATTGCACAGGGATTATTTGTTTTTTTCCCAAAAATCAAAGTACTTTTCGCCTAATTTGCAATAAATAATTGATATGGCACTGGGATCTGTGTTTACTGTGATTAGCCTTTAATCTGATAGCCTAAAAAATACAACACATAATTTTGAAGCATTCCTTTATAAAACTGAAAACTGATAAAATAATAGTAAGAAATTGCAGTTGAAATGCTCAAGATTTTTGACTATGGGAATTGCTGCTGACCATTATCTGGTTCCTTTAAAAGTAATCTCCTTAATGAGGAAAATGGCCAAAGAAAGCAGGTGAGGGACTGAAGAGGAGGGATCCTGAGACAAGGAATGTTCCATAGCATTTAAAGAAATACCACAGCTGACCACAGCAATGAATTAGCTGAAGATGAAATGATGGCGAGAAGACTGACCATTGCAAGCTTAAATCACTATGCGTTAGAAAAAAAGGAAAAAAAAAGAAACAAAAGAAACTTCATAGCACATTCCACTGGTTTATACCTGATTTCCCAGGAAGAACTGATAAGAAATGAAAAATGGAAGAAAGACATGATTAGTTTACAGGAAATTCTCTACATGACTCTAGAACACATGCAAACTAACACATTAGACATTCTAAATAAAGTATCTACTTCAGAGACAAACAGGTAGCCAGCCATCCAGAGACTGAGTATTGGAAAATATTCAAGGCCTTTGTTTCCTTCCCATTGCTGTTTCTGTGGTCTTTTAAAATCATCTACAGGTATTTAGTAACCTCTATTAGCCAAATATTGCATATTTCATCTGAAATTGTTCTGGTTATTGAATCTAGGGGTAGCAGATCTTTCTCTACAACGTGATACTTATTTTTCTGTGATCTAAAATCATTCTGCAGATATCTAACACATCTTTTATACGTCTTCAGAAGGAACAGTGTGCTCCCATAAAATGACAAGGGTGGATAAAAGTGATTGAATACACTTTGGAAAAGATTTTTAAAGAACAACACAAAAGCACAGGAAAATATCACTGTTTTTATGAAACTAATAGAAAACCAGCTACAGTTTAAACACTTCGGGTATCCAGGCAAAAAGATTGGCTTTTAAGGAGCTGTTGTATGTATGTATGCACGTACGTATGTATGCATGTAGTTAGCTTTTAAAAATTCTCATACATTGGAAATAATTTCAGCAGTTTCAGTGAAAATAAAAGCAGCAGCGTTTTCCCACATTGTTAGCCTATATGTTCTAACAAGAAAAAAACCCATAAAATTTAGACAAGCTTAAAGTAAGAAAAGATATAATTGTCATACAAAATTCCTGTAAATTAATATGGCCTAATTCCTTGCATAATCATGTCATACGAAGACTCTTTAAGCTGAAAGAACTAAGAAGCTCCTTAGACTTACCCTGTACTTGTTATCCCCAATCTGTTCCACTTGAAACCGTTTTGCACATTTACATTTAGCAACCTGCCTTGTAACCTGCAAAAAACCACAACTGGACGATTATTTTACTGTTAAATATCACATTTCACATTTGTGTAACTGGCAAATGTCAAATTATAAAGGAATGAAAGTAAAATTAAGTTATTAAAGAACATGACCCCAGTAGAATAGAGTGCAATCTAAGAAAGTAGAGAACGTACCTCATCTTCAATCTTGTCAGCATCTGTGAGAGGCTTGTATGCATCCTTGTTTGGATGAAGAGCTGCTACAAATTCGTAATAATCAATGTATCCATCACCATCTCTATCAAAAATGTCTGCAACAGCACTCATTTCAAGTCGGCTTGTTGGGAATTCTGTAAAACAAAGGCAACAACAAAAGCTAAGTTTTTTGGCTTTTCAATCCCATTACAATGAAAGACTTTATCACAAATATTAAAAGGGTTTTAAGGCACTAGGTGACAGACAATGCTTATCAAAAAACCAAGGACACTCAAAAGAGCAAAAAAATCTTTCTGAAAAAACAATCTGGACCTCCAATGTTACCTAGATATTGGATGAAGATTAATATCATAGTGTGGCTTGAAAAGAGGCACAGAAGCGAGGGCACACATTAAACTGTAAGATATATGTATTATTTTTTAACATTTTGACCTTCAAAGTGCATAAAATACCACAGATTACCAAGATAAATTGTTAGTGAGGAAAGGTCAAGCGAGAATTTCACTGCTAATTAAATTTGGAATGCAAGGCCTTCCCAGTGCAGAAACATGCACGGTGTTTCGTGAAATCCTTCTTCAGATCAAGTTCACAGCGGCAGAATATAATTGACACAGGTATTTTCTATGAAGCAGTCAAAGAAAATTTCAAGTTGGTGAACAGGGATTAAATCATAAGTCTTTAGCAGTTATAACAAGTTGACACCAACTAAGTTAAAGGAGTAAGCTGTTTAACCTCTTGGTGGTATCAGGGTTTTTCATCAACTTCTGTCATCCACGCAAACTGCAGTGGGAACATAGGGACTATGTTACTGCATTTCCTAAAGCAGGGTGAAAATATATACACCACAATATTCTCCTGCTGAGTAACTTTAACATAAGATGCTAAAAGCAGCCCAATTCTCAATCTTCACTGCTCAAAGCAAAAGTCTCTGTGATCTGAAGATAAAGGATTATTTTAAGTAGTAGGCCCTTATCTGAGTCAGTTGCTAGAGGGAAATGTGATCACGCACAGACATAATAGGGAAGGCTTACGTTACCACCAACTGTGCATACCTAAGGAATACCAATCCATCAGGAGAGCTAGGAAAGTCCCTTCCTAGTCTGATTGCTTGACATTTTGATCCTCACTATACAGGTATATGAACATGGTCATGGTTCATGGAAAGACTAGTTTCAGAAATTACATGGTTTCCTCTATAACTGAAACTATTCCATGTAAGTTCTTTCATAAAAACAATATGATCATATGAACTGATTTTGAAAATTATCTATAGGTTTTATAAAGTACTTTACTGTAGTTTAAATTAATCATAATTAATGACTTCAAAAGTGAAATCTGTGACCACCTAACACAATAAACCGCATAGGGTACACTATATAGATGATAAGACTAGTTCCAAGTTCAACATTGTTATTTTAAAACTTACTTGAAGAAAGAATTCCATCAATAAATTCCTGCCTTGTTATCTTTCCATCCTGATCTTTATCAATCCTCCTAAAGAAGTCCATCACACGAGACTTCTTATGGTTCATCCATCGCATGTATTTTTTCCTCCAAATATCAAAATCAAAGTTGGCAAATTCTCTCAGCTTAGTAAAAGAAGAGAAATAACATTTTTTAGCTGAAATCAATCAGTCTAGAAAATCAATGAGATACCGTCTGCATTCTTTTGAATAACTGATTCTTTGAGGACCGATAGAAACATTTTAAACATCTTAACTCTCCTCACATTTAAAATGAGAATGACAGCTTTTATGTCATGTTATAGCATGTGTATCGCAGTGTTTTCAGTTAGCTGTATCATATAATATAATACAACAAATACAGAATTTGTTTACAGTTTTTACAGTATTGACAATTTTAACCAGGGTAAACAGAATTATGCAAAAAGCATGTATATTCTGTACAGTCTTTTTCTGACCTCTTCAAGTCTGTCCAAAGCATCATTAAGTTTTCTTCTTCTTTCCAAAGCCAGAAGCCAGACTTGCTGCCATTTGCTGACTAAAAGGTTGACCCGTGGATTCTTGGTTTCAATTTGTGCCTGGGCTGCTGATGGATATATGCCTGGTGTTGGGGAACGCTTTCCTGTTAAAACATGATAAAATGTGTAAGTCTCACCCAGCTCAAAAAAACCAAACATTCACATGAGGGGTACTTGACCTTCCTAAAACTACTCCTTCCTGTCCTAAATAATGAGCCCATGCCATGATATGATTCCACCTAGTGGATTTTTTTTGTTTGTTTTAACATTGCTGGGAAGGACCACATGGTGGTTTAAGTATCTTTTGTCTAGCCAGAAGCAGCTAGTAACAGCTGCACAGGTTAAATAAAATCTTGGCAGATCTCTCAAAAAGTTGCAAAGTAAACAACCTGATTTTAGAAGCAGGTTCCCTGTATGGGTAAGTATAAAATACAATGGGTAAGTATACCCAAAAATACAGAAAGCAATTTCCTCACCTGATGATTCACTCTCTAATTGGATCCATATGATTTCATAGACAGCAAGAGCAAATTTTTATCTCAACATCTTTATGGAAAAGAAGTTGTTTGCAGTTTCAGATAACAGTAGATTTGCAAAGACTCAGCACGTGCACACTCTTGAAGTTTAACAGCACATGCAAGGCTGCGCACTTTAAAAATAGGTATTCAAGTAGTATAGGACATGCCATGAGAAATTTTCTTACAATGAAAAATGAGAGATAATTAGAATAATCAGCTAAAAGAATTTCACCCTGTTTCACTAGAAGCTAATCAAACCTATTAGATTATTAGTAATCTATTATCTTTATAGATCGAGCAATGGTGTGTGTGACCTGCCCCAAAATACTTCATTACTTACTTCCTGCTCTCCCCTTATCAAGTACAGGAATATGAGATTGTACTGGAGTGGGTTCAAGTGCCTTTCTTTTGTAAGTCTTTGTAACTTTATCCACATCAGGTTGTTTTCTGGTCATTTCCTCCATGAATGTCTGCAATCAGATAGAGGTGGTTTTAATTAACAATACACAAAAGTGACCACAGGAATGAAAGCCACATACAATAGCAAAAGACCAAAGTTACAAGAATGGCACAGAAAGACTCTTACAATGCCAGCTTCATAGAAAAGACACAGATAAAGGTTTTGTAGGTAAGAGAAAATGGCAGTATAAGCTTTTAAGACCAGGTTAAAGGAAGCTAAATCTAAACAACAGTCTGTCAAACTCCTTTATTAACTGTGTATGGTGAGGTGATGTACAACAGAATTTTGACTCTGAGTACTCAGGTGTTCCTTGCTGTCCAGACTGCAGTTCACAGAAGTGAGACAGCTCTGATGTGTAAGCTGGGGTAAGCCTATGAGCATTCCCTGCACCAACAGCTCCCTCTGACACTTCATAAACCTATTTTTGAAATCCAATCAGTAAAGCCACACTGCAACACTAGTTCTAAGGCAGCAGCACTATCATATATTTCATGTGGGGTTGGTATTATTATTATCATCCTTGCTCCTATGGGGAGTTGTAGGTTGGCTTTTAGAACAATGAGGAACTGAATTTTTGTTTGGTTGGTTTTTACGTCTGTGTTGAATAAACTACAAGCACATTGTACACATACAAAACACACAACTGAGTATCTGAAAAGGGATTTGATTATTAGGAGAGAAAATAACTAAGGAGATTCACACTTGATTACGAGGCCTAGCTAAGACCATTTGTAAGCACCATTTGTGGAATGTGTGGATGTGCCACTTAACATGCCTTACCTGATGTTCAGCTATAAGTGCTTTAACTTCCTCAATCTCCTGGGGGATAACCTCTTTATCTTTTTCAGTAAGCGTAGTCTCTGCCCACTGCAACCAGGACAGCAAGGCTTCCAGCAATTCCTGGTTAGCAATAAGTCCAGCCAGAGCTCCTGCCAGTCTCTGTTGATGTTGTTTAGCCCATGCTAAGACCTTGATAAAAGAACCAATGCATGAGTACGTGCATATCTGAAATTCTTTTCAAATGTATTAAAAATTGCACTGCTAACTGTAAACCCAGAGCTTCCTCACAGGCCTACTGATTTTTGATTATCAAAGGTGCTAGATGTAGTGGCTGATCACTAAAGGTGGTAGGTAATTAGAATTCCCTATTCAACAACACATTTTTTTCCAGAGATATTCAGGCTTAGCTGCCGGTAAGTGCAGTAAATAGCACATTCAGGCAACATATTAAGAACTTTATCAAACAATATGCATATCTTAAGTGAATCATGCAGGATTTGGTGTTTGCATCTTCTTCCTGGGCACTCCTGAAGCCATACTTTGCTAACACCAGTTTTTTTGTTTTTCTTTGAACTTAATATACACAGAAAATACCACCTTAGCAGCTGAGAGTGTGGTACACCTCCTGAGATCTGCTTGTAGCCAATTAAACAATTTGGAAATCTTCTAGATTAGGAATATGTTGGACTGAAATCGTCCTTAATGCAATTAGAAAATGCTTCAAGTTTACCCTGTATTTTCTTTCCTTTGTAACTTTTAAATTTCTCCCTAGAAACATATTGGCTTTCTTCACATGGGAAGTGTCAGCAGTATCTCCTTTAATACATACAAACAAAGAAGCTCCACCATCTGCTTTAGTTCTTAAAGCCCTGTAAGTTTTAAAATAAAACCTAGGGAAGCATGGTATTCACATCCATCACTGCGGGTATTTTAGATGTTTAGTTCTCAACAGCTGGATCATTTCCTCCCAGTGTAACTACCATGGTAGTTGTCAGCTATGTTCCAATCAAAGATGGACTGTTGCAATGAAGACGGCTTGACATATACTGACCTCTTCAAACCTGGCTCTGATGATTGTTATCCAGTGCTTAATGGTGGTGATGGAGTCTGGGTGGCAGATAGCTAGGATAGCTTCTCCCATACCTGTTGCTTTATTCAGTTCTGCCTTTTTCTCTTCCAGTTTCTTCATAAATTCCTAAACCAGAAGAACAATCTCAATTAGATGTTGACAAAATTTGTAAGAGAAATCTGAGTGCACAGTCTGGAAGGTTACAAGCCTCTCGATCGCTCAGACAGATTCCACTTGCAAGAGGAAAGTTTAATTTCTTTGAGAAAAGCTAAAAATCTTTAAAAGCCTATTCCACATAAAGTACTAAATGAAGCTCTAAATTACCCCACCCTGCCACTCCTTAAAAGCCCACCATACTGTAAATGCTTGAAAGACACATGCCCTTGTTAAAAAAAGAAGGAAAATCACAGCATTTTAGAAGAGCTGTAAATCAACTATACAACAGTTAGAAACATTATTGGCAACATTTCAGATGACTTGGTTTGTCTGTCAGTTACAGTAATTCTTCATAATAAACTACTAAGCTCCTAGCAGAGGCTGGAAATGTCCAACTATAATTACATGCTCAGACAAGATGATAGAGGACTTCAGGAGCAGCTATACCAAACTAACAAAAACATGAAAACTCAGCAGCTGATGGGGAGAGACACAGGAAGAACAGGGACAGAGACTGCTAATTAAACAGCTCTTTTCAGAGGCACTGCCATGTGGGGGAAATCTCGCAGGAGCAAAAGGATGTTTACAGCTTTACACATCCAAGCTCATAGCCACTGATGTTCCTAGGGAGTCCGGCAGAGGAAGGGGTGGCAGGGTCAGAACTGGGTGCAGGGCAGGAAACAACAAAAAAAACTGAAGGACTTTTCCCATCCTTTCTATAGTTTGCATTTCTTTTTTTTTTTTTTTTTTTAAATTATTATTACCACAATGGTTTTACTATTCTGCCTATTTTGTTATGTCTAAAAGCTGTGCAAGTCTGTGTGTCTTTGTGAGCACCCTTAACTGGAACTGCCAACATGTCTTAGTGCCCAGTAGAATTTTTTCTTATATTTTAACATCTTTCATTGGGCTACAAAATGGAACCATGTCTCTGAAAGTTTAACTCTTCCTCTCTCAATCCACAAAGGGCTATTTTGGATTCCAGAAATTAAAGATTAGCCAGGTCAGATCCTAGAAAATGCAAAATCACGAAACATTGTAAAAACAGAGTCTACGATGACTCACAATGACATTATCTTGTGAAATGTAAATATGTAAGATACTAAATATGAAGATACTATGAAATAAAAGTGTAAAAGAAACAATCTCTTCTATCTTGTTCTAAAAGCCTGGAATAAGTAGGCTGTATATCTAAAGAGACTCATTACTAACTGATTTTGACTTAAGCTTAAATTAATGTCAGAGTTTAAGACCCAATCACAATAGTAGTCTTTCCCTCATAAAAATGCATGAGTTCTTACCAAAATAAGCCAGGGCCAGGAGGAAAACACACAACACTATTTTCCCTGCACAACTGTACTACAAGAATATCTCAGAATCTAAGTCTATGACATACTACATACAGTGTATTAAGCTTTCCCTCAGTAAAGGATACTAATTGTATTGAACTCTCTGGCAGTCCCGTGACACAGACACATTTACAAGAGAGAAGACGGGATGCTTCTCATTAACTAATGCAGTGCATTAATCTATAACACTGTTCAGTCCCTAGAGAGCATGGCAAGCGACAGAAACTTCTCTGCCTGAGACAGTAGAATTCGTTAAATCATGTGCAACATTCAAGAAAAGAGAATCAGTAATGGGCATAAAGATGGATAAAACATTGTCCTGAAGAAACCTTCCAACATGTAGCTGGATACAAATGCATTAAAACTATTTTACAAGAATCACAGTGATAAAAAAGATGCATTTCATATTTATGTAAATAATGTCATAGTTGTACATTTTTTTATATTAATACTGCAGCATTATAATACAGACATGGTGTTTAAAACTAGTATCATATATTACATTTTCCCTTGTTTTCTTTTTTTTTTCTTCTTGAAAGCTAATGTTATATGCTTAAGAGGAGAAACCACTCATTCAAGGAAGATTTTGCTGTATGTGCCTACTGAGTGGTAAAGCAGCAATGCCACAACCTTTCTTAGCTTGACAATTTCTGTATTTCTATTATTAGGCCTTTAAGAAGAAAATGTGGTTGGGAGAGTATCTTCTAAAGCCTACTAAAAAAATGGAAGTACAGTACGGCCACATCTAACACTGAAGTTGGTTGTGTTGTGATAGTGATTACTCTCCCCTGCTGGACAGGGCTTCTCAGAGACAAACCTTGCTTTGGTTTGAGGTTCCGAGTTATGCTTCAGCTTTAGCAGCAGGATTTTGAGGTTTTGTACAGAAATATTTTGTTAATCAATCTACACTTAGAGGAAGAAATTTTTCTACATTGTAGAAGAAGATTTTTGTCTAATGATTTCAGTAGACCTAAGATTTCATTCAGTTGAAGACAACCAAAAAGTTAAATAAAAGGGAACTGATGAATCATATGTAGAGGAAAGGCAGCTAAAAGACAAATTTCATTGCATTGGAGACAGCAGGTTGCTACTGCCAACATTCGTCAGCATATGCTGATGCATACATTCATTTGCACGCAGTTTCCAGGGCCCTAAATTAAATGAAAGCTTCTTCAAAACGTTGCAGTCTGAGTACCTTGAAAACTCCTTCGTTAAGAACCACTAGATAGTCATACTCTGCACACACTCCTCTGCGTAATAATAGTCCCAAGCTCAATTTAAACAGGACGCTTTTCCACTCTCCATTTCCTAAGTTTTGCTTTCTTCAGAGCAATGATGAACAAATCCATTACTCTTATAATTTGTTCTATAACACTGTGAGCACTACGTTCTTGGTACTATTAGTACTGTGTTTACAAGAAGAATTTTGTCTGGGCTTAAATGTGCATATTTGTAGCCTCCTGTTTGGAGAGTGAATATACAACCTCTATGCTCCTTACTTAGCCATTTTCCCATGTCATTACTGCAAAGTTAGTTTGATGGTCTATAATCTAGTATCTGCAGTACCTATGGCACTGCAATATTTCAGTACCTAATGCATGTGAAGTATGACAGCACGCTGTTTCACCATGACAGAAGGTTAATGGGTGATAACATCATTCTGCTGACATTTACAAACGACCTTGAAAGAAAAGTATATGCTGTTTTGCTCAATGGTGCTAAGAAGACACTTATACTTTTGCTATTGTAGCAGTCTGTATTATAATTGTCAGGTAGTATGTATTCCACAGAGGGGTTTGCAACTGTCTCCAAACATTTACAGCAACTTTCTAAAGACCCATTATTTTCTTAGTAAGCCCAGATGACTCAGACAACAGCCCAACACCAGTATGGGCACCGAAGTGTGAACTCCATTATATTTCTAGCTTTTCTACAGGAACAGTTGCAAAACCACTGGATGCTGGACATGACTATACGGCATAGACCTTGCCTCCTTTCCTTTATTCTACCCTCTAACGGACTGATTAGAATGAAGAGGGCCCTCTTCATTATCTTGCTTACCCTGTGCTGGTCTATCAGCGTACGCAAGGCCTCTTCATCATCTGGAAGAACCCCATGGAAACGAAGAGCCTGCTCCGCCTCTGCCAGCCACTCCAAAAGGACATGGACAACAGAGTGGAATTCTTCTGCCTGTTAGAAGACAAGAAGTCACGGTCACTCATAAGGGGATCTGACAGACACACTGCAGCTTACACAAGGAGAATGAGCCCACATTTGGAGTCATTAATCATGAAGCAGTACTGGCACATTAATTTTCCATTAAAAAGTCAATGATATACAGTACTACTTTTTCATAACTGTAAAAATATCTCATGCTTCCCAAAAAATTATAGGAAGCCTAAAAGCCTGTTCATGCTTTTAGCCATCTGATTTATAGTGTATTTGCAGCTCAGTTGAGAACGTCATGCCTTTATGCTGACAAATTACACGGGAGGTGCTTTCATGGACCAGCTGGAGAGATGAAAACTGTATTTTCTGCATAGCCTAAATCACCGGTTAAGCAAAATTAATTGACAGCCCATTGGTGACTGACCCTTTTGTGTTTGGAGAAAACAAGAAAGTTCCACCTTTGGGCACAGCCATATTCAAACACAATTAGTGTCTGAGATAGCTCAGGATTGTGCCTGCTGAGAGGCTGGAGAGCTGGACAAACACAGTACTCTGGGAAAAGCAGGGCAGGAATTTTGTACACAGTGGATACATTGCTATTGCAGGAGTCCCACCCTAACATCAACCCAAACTAGTATATCTTTACAGAGCTGTACATCCATATTATCTCAGGTTTGGAAAGAGTATAGATGGACCTATTTGTTTGGGATCAGTACCAGCCAATACTGACATACATACACTGTTCTAGCTCCTGAGTGCACTCAGCACAACTCCATTTTTTCCGCAATGTACTTCACCGTGCACAGTAATTGTGCCAATGTAAACAAGTTTTCAGTACACAAATTTACTTTTTTCCAATAAGGCATGAAGGGCACAAATGCGATTGCAATCTCCAGCTTCCTGTGAAGGGGGCATAGTTCTTTATCATCCTTCACAGTTGACTGTAACTTCAGCGGTTTCCTTAGATGGTAAGGTCTTTGAAATACTTGCTTTGCATTTGTGGTGTAGGCTAATAATAACAGTGACAATAAATGCTAAAAGGCACATTTTATGAGCTGTGGTAAAGGGATGGAGACAAGGTAAGCAATGCATAAGCAAGAAAATCAGTAGTTTCAAACGAAATTAAATGAAATTGAATGACATGAAGTGAAAATGAAATTAGATTTTTGGCAACTAGACTGTAAGATACTTTCTCTGCTTCTCATGAAGTATATGTACCACCATTAGTACTCCTCTACCTGCCGAAGAGCCTGTTCCAGTCGTGTTTGCTTGGATACTGACAGGGCGCAAACTGTCTCCCAGCGAGTGCTTAGCTCCTGCATTTGGACTTTCACCCAGGAAGAGTCATCACGACTGCCTTCTATCAGTTCTCTGGCAGAGCGCTTCAGAGCCTGGACACTGCTTGTTCTTTTTCCCAGCTCCTTCTGGAAAACCTAGGCACCACCGAATACATTTGATATGTTTAATTCATTAAAGCATAATTATGTAAAGAGAAACAAAAAAACCCTACTGGTTCTAAGAAATAGAAATATGGATTTAGTTCAGTCAAGAATAACTCCATCAAAGTGACTCAAAATGCACAAGTTCTGCTCATTAGATGCTCTACGAAGATATTTACACTTTATCCTATCCTAATAAAACTGGAATATGGCAGGAAAATGTCAGGCAGATCTTGAGAACCCATCCTGATGCAATGCATGGGAAACCTAGCCTCCTTATCACGCTGGCTTTACCCTCTTTATCAAAGCAATCGATCCGACACACTTGATTAATGCGCAAGATTGCCTCAGCAGAAAAAGATCAGATAAAATGCTAACAATCAAAGAGAAGGTTTAAAATCATAAAAATGGAACTAAAACCCCATCTGGGGGTCTGACTATAAGGCTGTAGATTTCACCACATATTCATGTACTTGAGAGTATCTTCACATTTGCAGATGGAACAAGCTCCAGTTACATAAAGGAAGATCTTAAAAGAAGGTATGACAATTACACTATACTGTGCCACTGACTATGACTTAGCTGTGCTATATAATGTGATTTCAGAAGCAATCCCAGCATATTTCAGGCTTATTTTTATAGACAACCCATGTTTCCAAATCCTTTTTTTCACAAGGGACAAAACCTTTTCCTCATTGAACAGTCTTTGGACACTGGAAATCATTGGTAGATGAACACAGGGACCTTCACCTCATAATTGTCCCAAGCTCCAGAGCCCTGACTGTGTGTAGCCTTTGCAATACCAGTAACTTCAACAGCTGTTTCCTCCAACACTGAACTGCAAAACGGGGATTGAGAGGCGCAGTCCCACATCTCCTACTTGCTCCCATCTCCAAAACCACTTCAGTAAAAATACTGCAGCTTGCCAATGTAGGCTTCCTGGGCCATAGCCTAGTTGTATGTTCCCGTGCAGAACTTAAGCATTACAACTACTCTTCTCCATGAATACACAGTAGCCCTGCAGGTTTAAAAGGCTGCTGTAGTCATGACGAGTGCACTGGACATTTGTTTAGCAGATGTACTAGATAAAAAGCCCCATCTCCCCCAAAGATCCCTACACACACACATTCATAAATGCACACTTGTGATTTTTCACATGATATTCATAAATACACAGGATAGCAGCATTAAACAGAGTATCTCAATGCTAACTGGTATCAATGAGTCACTAACGGTTGTTGTCTTCCATGTATGTTTTACAGCAATTTCCATTGTTGATGGCATTTGTGCTATAGAACTATTCCATGTTTCTAAAAATTGCAGAACAGCCAAATAAAGAAAGCATTAAAATGCTACATTTATGAGCAGTCTAGTAAATACAAAAAATAATATTTTTGGAATTACCTTGTGATTGTCGATCAAGTTCATCACTAAATCAATGTCTCCATGTACTGGCTGATCTTCTGCCAGCTGAGGTTCAATTTTGTATAACCAGTCAATGAGAGCTTGCAGAGCATCAGTAAATTGTCCCGAAAATAACAGGGCTTCCTCCAGTTTATTTTGTCTGGTGGGGCAAAAACAATGAACACACACACACACACACACAGAGAAAAAAAATAATTCATACACTTTAAGAAAGCATTTTCAGCATCAAATGATAACAACTAAGAGCTTTCGATCAGTGCTTTCCTTTCCAAACAGTGGGACCACTTCCCCTGTCCTCTTCCATACCATCAGGAAAGTAGGCATTTCTAGTATTTTACTGCTTCGGCACTCTTTAATTATCAAACAAGCTAGCCACTTTGGTTCTACTTTTACACAAGTGAAGCCAAAAGAATTCTCCTAAGGCTTCTTCTTATCTGCTGAAAATTTTCATTTACCTTTCCACTGATTTTCCACAAATTGTATCCCACTTATCCCTTAGTTCACTCAGCATATCATCAAGTTTCAAATTGTCATCAGCCAAGGTGGTTTTCTCTTTCAAAGAGCGTCCAGTCCTATTTGTAGTATCATACACAGAATGTTTGGCACCAAGAGATTTCTGGAATTCCTGTATATATGGAAGAAAAAGAAAACACCCATATCGCATTAACTGCTAGGAGGCCACAGTTAATTAAACTTTGACATATTATTTGCAATGGAAATTGTAAATGGTGCTGCAAGGAAATTTTAAACTTACTGCAAAATTTCTAGTCTGCTAGTGCCACAGTGCACCTGAAATTATATGGGGTTTCACACTAGCAGAATCCCTGCCTTTTATCCCTCTCTGAGAATGTAGCTCTACACCTACTGGAACAACTTCTGGAAAATCCCTCCTTCGAGCGGAGCAATGATTCCTGTCCTACCATAGTATTCCTAAAATTCAGCAAGGGGCTGCCTGGTAGTCAGAAGAATGTGAAAGAACTGCTACTTTGGGAGCCATGAACTGAGCAGTCTTCACACTACATTTTTACATATTAAGATTTCAAGCCAGTGTAGAGCACTCCAAGGGCTACAAAGGTCATTCTGGTTTAGCTCATCATGGTCAATCTAGGAAACCTCTAACCACAAGCATTTAACCCTCCTAAGATTGAAGCATACCACAATTGGGAAGAATTGTATGCCAAAAATATACAGATCCAAGCACAAGAAGCAGCCAGGTGACATCCCAGTAACTCCACTTGGGCTGGAAGCTGTGATCACGAGGTTTCTGTGATCCAGGAACTTTGGAAGACGAGAGTGACACAGCAGTTGCATCTGCCTGTCAGCTCTGACAGCTCCTTCTGCCCAGAGCCTCTGGATGCTCTCCACAGGCACAGAGGAACAGACAGAAACACAGCTCATCTGATACTGCAGAGGAGTTAACTAACTGACAGAGTAAATAATTAAATAAAGGAACACTGCCAAAAGACAAAACCAGAGCTACACAGCAGCTCTTAAATGGTAGCAATGCTTGAAGTGTTTTATTTCACATCTTCATGAACTGCTAGCAGGATATCAGTTAAAAAAACCAGAAATCACAAGTTTGCTTTAGGAAACTCATTTATACAGAATTAAATAAATATTATTCTTTTTTTGTCACAAAAAAAATACTAGGCCAAAGAGGTTTTGCTTGGTGTTTGCTGAAACAGATTTTCAACTGGTTCTCAGAGCAACGTTCAGTATCATCACATCCAGTGAGGAAATGAATACCACTTAAAACTTACAGTAACTCCTCAGGGCATATAAAGATGGCAAGGATTCCTCATGGTCACTGCCAGCATGTGTGTGCCTGCTCACCTCCCACTGGCAAGCTGTTCCCAGCTGGCCTGCACCACCCTGTGCCATGGTAGCTCACAACTCCTCCACTGACTTTCCTGTGTGTCCACTTAGTTATCTCCTCTTTTAGATGTGAATGTGTGTCAGGGAAAGCTCAAGTGGAATGGAGGTAGGCATTGGGTTATGCTATGGTGATTCAAGGCTTCTTTTTTAAAACTTGCTTGGTATTTTGCACTGTACTGTTCTTACTTTAGGGTTATTTCAGTATCCAGAGGGAACTGAGGATCAAAATTTATCAGCCAAAAAAAAAAAAAAAAGGCAGCATGGCTTTTGTAATTCAGTATTTCCTTACTGTCCTTTCATTTTCCTCATATAGAACAAGGAAACACACTTTAAGAAAGAACACAAACACCATTGTCAAGCTAGAACTACAATAAAAATAACGATAATTTTCAAAATGAAAATAACCAGTTTTTTTAAAAGTTCCTTCAGTACAAACAGTATGTCTCTGCTCCTTTTATTTGATGTTTTTTTTTAACTGCTTAACACTACATCCATGGTGTTATTTGATTTGCATGAGGAAACACAATGGAACTGCTGCCGGAGAAGGATTATACAGGAAAAACAGATTTAAAGGTGAACAAAGGGTTGCAGCCTTTGAGAGACTACACACACTACACCGTATCTACTTCCATGTGATTTCACAGAGGTGTAACTGAGAGTAGATTTTGGTTTAAGCTGCCAGGGGCAGACAGGTAAGAGGAACAAAATCTCAGTAATTAACTATCTACCTTCCTTCTAAGGAAGATGGGGACATACAGATAAAATTAGCCAGGTTCATATAAATGTACTGTAAGGAACATCCAGCATTAGCTCAGGAATAGATTGGGTGATCTAATAAGGGTTTTTCCATTCCCGACTTCTAAAAATGAGAAAAAATTGCTGATAAACAGACCATGAATAACCCCCAAAAGCCCCTGGCAACACACTAGATATAAGTGAGAGAGAAAACATATTATCTTGGCTTTCCTCTTTCAGGGCTTTTTTTTTTGGCAGTAACAACTGGCAAAGAGCGAGTCCAAATTATTGCTTACAGCACACACAGTTCAGATAGCAAAATCGTTAACTAAATGGAGCAAGGAAACCTTCAAGGCTGGACAGAAAAGACAAAGACGGACACTGGGGGTATATGTGGGAGTGGAAGGAAAAGACTCAAAATACAAGGAAGGACATTGCAGTGTTGGGAGGCTTGACAGCTCATTAAAAAACAATTGAGTTAATTTCTTGGGGGGGTTGTTTGAAGTTTAAAGTCACAAAGTTCACAGAACTCCCTCTCTCACACATATTCATCTTTTTCCTCCAAATCGCCAGTTTCAATCCTAATGTCCCTGTGCCACATTCCATCCCATTTCTTAATGAGAAATGAGATTCAAGAAACTCAAGTAGCTATTCTCTGCAGGCATTTCATACGAAAGGAAGCTGGAGAAAAGATATCATTGAGAGAAGCGATGAGTCTGCCAATCCATGTGAGGAAGCTTGGGCTCATAAAACAAACTGCTGTAGGTATAATGAACAAGTGGGATTATCAGGTTTAACATTTCAGAAGAGGGGAGGAGAGCAAAAGTAGAGAGTCAAACCTCGGGACCTGAAAGGACCTCAAAGCAAAGTCACAGCATGTTGACCGTACTTTGTGAGGAGTTTGAACTTTATATATAAAGAAAAGAGAGGAGTGGAAGCATTAAAAGATTGATAAGAGTCAGAGAAGACAAGAAAGACTATCTTAACAGAAAGATTTTTTTTTCCCCTAAATTCCCATCACTGACTTCAAATTCTGGCAACAGCAGCAATCCCAGAACAAACTGAAATTGCAGAGTTAGTGTAACAGAATGTTAATGTAGGTTTTATCTAAAAGTTTTAACAGCAAACATTGGTAAAACTATTTTTGCTTGACCAACAGCCAACTTTCCCATATTAAAGTGGAATATTTTCCTGGTTGATAAACAATACTTAAATCATCATGTAAACTGAGAGATGATAAAAATACAAAGCAGACTGATTCAGTAACCAATCATTAATATACTTGGCAAAACTTGTCAGAGATAAAAGCAACCGTCAGAAGCTACACTGAGAGGGAAAAATTAGATATGCAAACCCTTAGGGATATTGTGCATAATGAAAAAATAGGAGTAAATGAGAAAAATAAGACTGACATGAAAAGTAAATGTATATCAAAATGTAGAAAAATGAATGCCCTTTCAATACTCTCGCTCTGATGAAACTGTTCCAAGATAAATCTTGAGACACAGTCTGTCTCTGAAGATCCTACCACTAACCCACTTGATCCTCAGCAATATATTATTCTAGGCTCCTTACAAAAGTAAAAATGAAGTAAAGACATCCATCCTTTTGCTCTGTTTCTGATAGAAATACGGAGCTTTTACATTATCTTTATTTGTTTGAAATGCCAGGTCAATCAGGGAGATTTTTACATTTTCACCTACAGTAGCTGGGTCTGGGGAAAGCTCATGCTGAATTTTGAATCCCATGAGGAGAACCAGCCTTTGCTACTAATGCTGTCACTGTACTTTCTAGAGGATCTAATTAATATTTCCACTTGACATAAAAAGCAACTGCCAATCAAAATACAAGAATATTTTTCAGTTTTGAGGTGGTCCTGTAGCATTAAAAGGAAAATCCCAACCCAAATAACTGGATGGTAAAATTGTGGCTTAAGGACTGAAAAAAGCCTGTAATAAAACCTCTTCAGAGATTCCTACTCTGAGATAGTATTACTTTGCTTTTTAAAGTTTCCATGGTGCTGTATCATTATGTCTTTCCTCTTCATAATTAACCATTTCCCCACAGATCAGGTACTGCGAAAAGTTTTTTTTCACTCCCCACCTGTAACACACCACCATTTAATTCGATACTAATAAGCACTCCATTGTAGGAAGGCCACAAATCTACTTCCTTTGCTGACCGACCAGTGTACAAGGCTGACAGACTTACCTGCATCTCACTGGGCACTTTGCATGTCATCACTCATGACTCACCTTATGCTGTGCAAGCTGCATCTTTATTTTGTCAGGGTCATTTGCAATTTCAAGATCTGAGTCCAAAGATTTCTCTGACTCTTCTAGCCATTCCATAAGTTTGTGCCAGGCTTCATGGAACTGCAGGAAGGAGAGATTTGCATGGATTTTAAAATTCACTGGTTCATAAAGTAGTCTGAAAACATTAAACCCCAACCAATTCTCTACAGGCCAAAGTACTCTGCAGACTTCGCAAAGATTTGGTGTGCGCTCTCAAGCAGGGACTAGCCTAACCATGTGCCCACCAGACTTAGCCTCCTTTCTCCCAGGTGAATTAGCAACCTTTTATGTATATGATCTGCACATATAGCATGCATCTTTTGAAGACCTATTGGTAACTTCTGTTGATGTGCTGGTCATTTAGATTCCTACATTTTCAGTAATGAATAGTAAATACAGCAAGAATGGGGCTTAGCTATTGCCTATATGGGACAACAGCAGTAAATCACTGTGGAAAACTCCTGTCTGGTTGACTGCCCCAGATCTTCCCTGGGATGCTCATAAATGCTCTCATTATATCAAATGCTATCATGACGGGCAAGGAACAGAGCCTTGATCTTCCTTCCTGTCTCAGCAAAAAGAGTGCTTCAGGGAAGGAAGCAGGGAAAGACCAAAGATTCAACCAGCTTTCACAAAGTGGCATCCTTTTGGGATTCAATTTTTCTAAGCTGGTTGTTTCTCTCTGCGTCTCTCTTGAAAATTGCTCTTGCCTGGGCTGCCTACACATGAAAGCACAAGGAACTAATTCAGAAACCTCTCCAGGCTCCTGACCCCTGTTGCTCAGGGCTGTGGATCAGGCCTTGACACCAGTCCCCTTCAGTACTCCTTCCCTGCTCTGCATAGATAGTTGTCATACTAAATTAATAACTTATTGTATTCAGCTTTGCAAATGGATATAGAGATTAAATCCATCTCATTGTAGAACTGTTGTGTCTATGAATACACAAGAGAAACTGCTGGAAAATAAGTAACATTTGATTGGCTTCCAGGCTAATTTATTGCTCGGAGTTCTTCTTCTATGAGCTGAGTGGTGGTAGCAGCAAACATGGGAATGTGGTTTGGCTGTGAACATGACCAAATCTTGAATGGTCATGTTCACTTGAATAAAAAGAAGCTAGAACTTCCTACTGACATTTAAACAGATTACATTCCCCTCACGCATTTTGCATCTTATAATTTATGTTCCTCAGTGAGGGGAACATGAATCTAAGGAAAAAAAACCATGAATGCTCCCTGGTGAGGAAAACGGTGTAAAAAACCTCTCCAGATTTTTAAAGAAATAAATGGAGATATCTTACCACACAGAAGATATTGGTCTAGTAACTTGCATAAGGTATTGAGGAAATGCTGGGTATTAATCAGGGCATAACGCAAACCCAAGAAGAAAATACTAAGGCATAATCCCACAGATTAGTGAAAGGGGTTCATCACATTCTTTAAAATATAAGGGGTTGATTGTGAAACCTCTTTTTGAGGACAGATGGCACTAATATACATCTGGAAGCCATACTGTAACTTTCTTTTTTCAGACTATCCTGTATGGCAGACAGAAGTCACTGCTTGGGTCGAAAATGACGCTTTCACCTCCCAGATGAAGTGCTCTATGATTGAATCACAGAAATTGCTCCACTAACTCAACAGTGACTGTTACACTAAACGCAGACTTTCTTTAAAGTGCTTTAAAGCACTATATTCTTCAAGCGTCTGGATGTAATTACAGCTAAGTTCAAAGAGTTGTACAACAGCTGTTGTCCGATTACCTGTTTGGCTCTTTTCCTTGCATCATCCAAAGCTCTTCCTCTTTCAACTAAGCGCTGAACTACTTTTTCCCATCGACTCTGTACACTAATCAGCAGATTCTTAATAAGGACAACATCCTGTTTCTGGCTGAAATATTTCAAATGTGTTCCAGTTTTGTCCAGCTCTATGATCTGATCTCGATGAGAATTCACTTCTGTGGCAAAAACCTTGGAAAAAAGGGAGAAAATTACTCTGAATACTATGTTGCTCAAGCAGTGGGTAAACACTGAAAAAAAACCAGTCTGATAAAGAATGATGTAGCGAGAAGGACTATAAAATTTAATTTTAAAACAAATTAATTTTTTCTCTGAGTGCCAGTGTTTCAGGGTTCATTGTGGAGATACTTTAACAATGTCCAAGAGTGGGAGAAAAACATTACACATCTGTTTCTTTACATACCTTGTGTTCATCAATTTGAAATAATACTGTGTCCAAGATAAGACTTGGCCGAGAAGCTGCAGTTAGAGTTTGCTCAGCCTGAGTAAGCCAATTGATGAAATCTTGAAGTGAGTTGTGGAACTCCATTGCTAAATTGAGGGCTTCTTCCAGTTTGGTCTGTAAAGATATGCCATACGTTAATAGCAGTTGATATTGTGCAGGGGCTTCAGCCAGGTAAACCATTTTAGTTCAGCATGTTGAAGAAAACCATTTTAGTTTAGCATTTAGTTTAGCATTTTAAAACATTTTTCCAATTCAAAGTCTCTGAGTTTTAAAATAACAGCCTACATTTGAGCATATTAAAAGGAGAGGGATAGAAGAGTAACGGTAACATTATGTATGACAGATGAGTAGAAAATACAGCACCTAGCAATATGGAAAATTTTATCTTGATACAACACTACATCTTCTACTACTTAATCCTAATGGGACATAGAGATTTATCAATTTCATTACAACCCCAGTAGAATCTCAGAAATCTAAGGTGGCAGTGCATTTGGAGGAGCCTCAAAGAATTAATCTAATTTATTTTCTTGCACTAAACAAAGAACCAGTTTGCCAAGACCACTTATTTTTAATAAAGCCCAACTGTAATTTTGCTTGCCTGAACCAAGACTAATTTTGGATACAGAATTTTTGTTGATAAGACAGCAGTCAGATTTTCAAACAATTGCACTGCTGGCCTAGCTGAGTACTCCAACCTTACCGCTTCCTGCAAGAAGGTGCTCATGTTGAGTATTAATTGGTCTGACATTCTTACATTATACAGTTACCTTAGGAGACATCAGCATTCTTACTTTAAAATATAACGAAGTTGTGATTTAAATATTTGCGCTTTATATCTATCAGGACTGTACAGAGAGTCCCTCTGTTTGTAATTACTGATATTCTTCATTGTTTGATTGAGGTAGTACAAATGGACCATACTTCGTGAAGGAATGAAGGCAAAATGAAAATTAATAGTAAGAAAGCGTATGTTGCCTATCAGTGAAATCATTGATCTACATTAGAACAGAAGGTAGTCACCTGAAGTAACCAGCAGAAGGAAAAGCATTTGGGAGTTTTAAGGCAAAAAATGGATAAAAGCTGGGAAGATTAATGCAACAATTCTGTCCTGAGAAGGAGATAAGACTTGAATGATCAAATAATTTTATTCACTCTCTTCTGTCTAACATTACTGAAATAAAAAACAGGAAAGCCCTCATTCTACCAAATGAGCATTACCAGTATCAGTTAAGGTATTTCTGTGGAACAGACTTGTGCCATTCTCACCCATCCTCCCCCCAGTTATGGATAATCGACTTCTTGAATCCCATTTTTTCCCAGTAATTTCTAAACACACCAATGAATTCTGCATAACTGTCTCTACAAGTGATTTTAAATCTAAAAGATCAATCAGGTATGCATGCATACAAGCACTTAACATTAACATTCTTAAATAAATCATTTACACTTCTATTTTTATGTAAAACCACATACTTTTCTTTCACTGAGCTTTGTTTGTACTGATTCCCATTTTTCTTTTAAGTTATTTATGTCCTGCTCAACGTTTGTTTCAGGAGACTCTGGGCATCTTGCAAGCATCTGCTGGCCTTTCTGCATTAGACGCTTATATGTCTCTTCTTTGGCTTCAAAGGCAGCACAAAGTTCCTAAATAAAGAAAGCATTCAAAAAGTAAGTCAGGTAGAAATTCAATACTCTTTACAAATACTAGTATAAGATTTATTCCTCCCCCAACATTTAGTGGGTATGATTAAGACTAATAAAGGAAACATATGTAATTAATAAAAAGCCAAATGAGCAAAGAAAGGGCCCAATTCTTCAGGAAATGAGAACTTGTATTGTCAGATGTTTTCTCTGAGATCCAAAGCTTGGCAAGGAAAGTACTATGCACTTATTGCACATGATTTGCTACAACTTGGTTGGTTTAAAATCCATCTGTAGCTGAAACACAAAAAGTGTCAGCATTATACAGTGCGCTGAAAGCCCAGACCTATCTAATACACCTTCAAAAGTGGGTGGGACAACTTGGGAGGGCTGCTTTATTATATATTGTCTTTTTTGTTTTGCCTGTATCTTCCTTCACTCGCTAGGCAAGAGCACTGAAGACATTTTACACATACAAAGAAAGCTGGAAGAATAATGGTAACTGTTTTAGTTGCTACATGTTCTACTATTCTTTGCTAGCTATGTTAAAGATGAGGTGGCAAGAGACTGGGAGCTGCCACGCATCCCTCTGACTCAGAAGGGCATGTTCAGTATTTGTAACAGACCATCCAAAAATATACCAACGAAGTTGCTGCAGATTCCCAAATGAGGAATATCTTCCAGGAGATGAGCAATAAGTAGCTTGCAAATAGGAGGAAAATAACTTTTTCCTCTGATTCCCAGGACAAGAACCCAAACCCAGCATTTTCTTTGGGTTAAGAGATAATGTACACAGGGTTGTACATGATCACAGAACATGGCGAAGCAGGTTCAACCATGAGCTAAGATTTTAACAGGACTGAAAGCTTCCTTGCTTGCTTTCTGAAGACTATAAAAATTGGTGTCACCTAGCCTGCTTCCTCCTACACTCCCAATCTCCCTACAATATTTCTGGTTTCCATAACTCCCCAGAGCATTTTATTTTACTGCAGCACAAGAACCCCTCAGAAGTAAACACTGGGAGCGCAGCACAGGTGAGACACAGCACAGGAGTGGCCCTGAACACTGGGGCAGGGCTCAGTCTAAGACAGGGGCTCATCACATTGGTTAATTCTGCAGTGCAGTCACACTCTTAAGAGGACAGAAGCAATTAAAGTTACTTTAAAGGAGGAACTGAGAAAAACAATTGTTTTAAGAAAAGGAGAGGGATGTTCTGAGCAGCACTGGGGCAGCCAAAGAGGCCTCTTTAAGCCCCTTCCTTGCTGGTGTCCTGTAATGTCTCTCCATATCTTTTTGTCTTCCTGGAGCTGCCTTAGCTGGAAACGCTGCCCAATCTCAGCTCCACTTGTGAACCGATTATGGTTGAGGGCTCTTTTATTCATATCTTTAGAAACAGACCTTATAATCAAGAAGATGTTTCATAACATTAATTCCAATGAGAAACAAATCAAGATACAGTGCAAAGCTTTCTTCTTCAGTTACACGTCACAGATTAAGATGGTTTGTATCTCTTAGGAGCACAACTGAATTTGAAACTTATGATAAATAGTACTCAACATGACAAGCAGCCTCAACATTTCAGCTGCCAAAAAAAAAAAAAAAAGAAAAAAATGAAAAAGAAAATTTACACGTATCTGCACAGATGCACTTGCACTGAGGCTTAACTATACTGGAATAAAAGTCCTATATTTTAAGGGTGATATCCGTTAAAGGATAACAATGTCAATGCCTGCAGTTATATGATGACCCGCAACATAGTAACAACCTGTTAAAATGTACACATACAGTTAGGAGATGATTGTACATATAGAGTACATATTACTGGGGCCACATTCGCATTTGTTCCAACTGTAATACTACATTCAGTTTAAAGATTCTTTAACTAATCAGTCTGTAAGTGCAATAAGTATAGAAAATTTGCATAGTAAAAGAATGTACCAAAAAACCTGTGAAATTTTCCAGGGAAAATTTTTTGGTCCAGATCTGACTTCAAGTCCAGGATGAAAAATGGAAAGAGCTCCACTGACTCTCATGGAATTGTAATTATGTCCCATGCTCACAGAAAAAAAACCAACAACCAAACCAAAATAGGGTTTTTTTTTCCCTTTTTAAGAGAAGGATTGGTGGGGTTCAAAACTGCAAGGTTATTTCTGTGTTTTATCCTAGTTTCCGGTCATAACTGATTTTAAAATTGTAAATTATTTTTCTTCTCAAAAACAGTTACTGGTAAATTTTTGCAGAAAAAAAGTGCCTCACACTGGCAGGCAATGGACTTTAAAATCATTCCAAAATAAAATTTTGTTTTTAAAGCTCTGACAATGCAGCATTCTAATGGAAACTGTGTCACAGTAAACATCACTCAGGTCAGGAGTTTAGATCACTGGGTTTGGGCTTATATCCTGGCCTAACAGCACAGCATGATTTTACGTGAATGGAGCACTAGGAACCACCTTCTTCTGAGGTAAGAGCTCAAGTTTAAATGCTTTTTTTTTTTTGAGGCAGAGAAATCCATATAGTGTTTCTTAAAGAGAAAGGAAGGAAAGAAAGGGAATAACTCAGGTATCCTCATCAGCTTGCCATTTCTAATTAAAGCAGGATCTCTGTATGGGCCAGTAGTCCTTATTCCATCTGTGCTAATGATGACTTTAATGTCAGCTTTGGTTAAATGAAAAATAGAGGTTGAGTCTCTTAATTCAAGGTCCAATTCAAGGTCCAATGAATGGGGATCACTTTTAGATTCAACTTCGTATCTTAGAAAAAGCATAAATGTAGTTATGGGGACAGAAGGTAAAAGAAGAATAGGAATCACCGAAAAATCTGCAAACACTTTCTGTTTTTCTTTCTGAGAATAAGGACGCAGAAGTTCTTTTACTTCTGTCTCAACACTATTAATGGTTCAGCTTTGGGCATCTCCCAAGTGACTACTTCTACACTGAAAATAACAGTGTTTTTCTGAAGGCTATTAAAAATTTTTTAAGATACTGTACAGACATTGTGATATATAGAACATGCTCTGTATTTACCATAAACACTCCTGAAAGAGTTAGTCCTGAAATGCAATTTGCAAAGCATTCTAATACTGATACTTACCATATGGGTATTAAGCTGTTCTCTCGCCGTTTCTGGTAAGCCTCCAACAGGTTTTGATGCCAACAGCTGACGTTCAGTGTCTGTCAGCCATTGCTGCATATCTTCAACTTCACCATGGAAACCTTGGGCCTAAATTATACCATATCATTTTAGAGCTTACTTAAATGTTCTCCATTCTAATACTAGCTCAAATACAGAAGTATACTGGCAACAAATTTAATCAGATATTAGCAATAATCGAAGGAAATGAAAGGAAAAAATAAATGAAAGAAAAAACCAAACCAACCTCAAATTTAAACTAGCTCAATCCCATCTAAATGATAAAACCAAACCCAAAACCCATGGAAATCTTCAAAGCAAGCTAAATGAGCAACTGTGAGATCAAAGTTTTCCCTAAATAATATACCTATACAGAAATTTCACCCTTTAAAAATATGTAGGCCAAAAGCTGAAGTCTTGATTCAACACTATAAAAGACAGTGGCCAGCTGTGGAAAATACAGCTGGATTCAAACTTTCTCCAAATTCAGGAGCGTCTGCATTATGGTTTTGATTTAGGCCAACTTTGAATACATGTATCTATGTATTTCATGTAAAAAGACACATCTCTTTATTTGATCATTTCCTGTTCACCTGGATCAAGGCACTGTCCAGCTGCTGTTTCCTTTGTTCTGTTTTTTCCAGCACGTTTTGCCAGCGCTGATTCAGAAGTTCCAACTTGCTCTGTAAATTACTTGCTTCTTCAACAGCACTTGATTCAATCAGATCATTTCCTGCTTTCTTAACTGCTTCCACCGTAGACTGATGAGCTAAAACATCATTTTGTAGCACCTACAATTGTAACACAGTATGTATGACTGGCCATGTTGACAAGTTACTGAATGAAGGCAATTACAGTGACTGAGGACTGAGCTAGTTCTAATCCAGTGACATGGCAATAGTTTAACATCAGCACAGGTATTAGCAATTAAAGCTAATAACTCAGGTCTCTTCAGTCAAAAGCAGTTAACAGACCATTCTGCCAAAATGCTACATTTTAATTTCATATCTTGGAAAAACTAGTATATTCCTTCTGAATACATATTTTTTTTCTGAAATTATAAAAGGTTTCTGGTACTGCTAGTAAAGAATTTTTTCTTCACGTTCCTTAATTTACTACATACTTTTCTTTAATAGGATTTTTCTTTGTTTTTGAGGGTAAGGTGTGAAAACAGTGTTATATGTGGTAGTGCCAAATGCTTGTGGAGCAGTAGTCTAAGAAGACAGGAGAGAGAGGAACAAGAGTGCTATGTGCCTGCTGTACCATACAACAACCTGACTGCCACGATGTCTTTTTCAGGTCTACAACTCGTTTCACATTATGTCAGGCTACCAGGACACTTCAGCTGTGTTAAAAGCTGGGGAATGGTTGTAATACTAACACCACAAGACCTCCTCCTCCATCTGGCTGAAAATCTGTTATCACCAACCACAGTAAAACATAAAATGCAAAAAGTACATTTGGGAAAGGGATGCTGTTTTCAGAAAGATTTAAAAAAAAAAAAAAAAAAAAAGCCTAATGCTTTAAAATACCAGAAATAAAGAACAGAAAAAGAGAATATGCTAAATGGTTGGGAAGGGAATGGTAAACCCCACCAAAGACATTAAAGTTTACGACTGCTGTCTTCCACAGGGTCTGGTTCAAACTCACCTCCCTCAAACTGCTAGCTTATGGAAAAAATATAGAGCTAAATACAAAGGAACTTTTAAATAAAATATACAAAACAGCTGATGAAACAGCAAGTCACAAGTAACCTTTGTACACAAAACACACATCACATTTGCTTTCATTCTTCTAAGCTAAGCACTGGAAGGTCTTAGTTATTTTATTTTCCTAACAGGGTGAAAAAAAGGGATATTCACAGCAGATGCATCTTATCCCTTCCTTCCTGATGAGGCTCACTAAGACCAAGGTCTATTTTTTCCAGTCATTCAAGAGATGGATGTTTTTCCAGGCTACCACAGGATGCACTACTGTGTGAACTTTCTAACCTATAAACTCTATTTTATGAAAAGGAAGTAGATTCCTTCATGTGTTTGCTGAACTCCTTCAGCACTGAAGGTAGATGAAGTCATAAACGATGTCTGGATGCTTCTTCAGTAGTAAAACACTTCCGTTTGATAAGAATATAAAAGGTTCATGGAGTGGAAGCTGGATTTCTAATTTTTTTTTTTTTTAAAGGGCCTGTTCCTAACAGTAGTCACACAGGGCATGTAGATATTTTACTCTGCTCGAGTTCCAACTGACCACCAAAAAGGCTCCAGAAACTGCATAGCTGCATTCCCACAAACAATGAAAATGCCTTTATTATCTGTGTACTGTCAGATTCAATCAATTCTCTCTAAATCCAAAACGTACTCTGAATCCTTTTCACATCATATGCAGGCCAAAAATTAAATGGCAGATTTAAAGGAAAGGAGATGATTTATGAGGTTAATTCGAAATCTTCATGCCTAGAAAGAACACATCATCATGAACAGCACCGAGTCACAAAAAGAGAGAAGATCTCTTGCTCCTGGGAGCTACTCTTCAAAATAAAGGCACAAGGGAAGCATTATTCCATGGGCTCTAAAGCCACAATAATCAGTAAAAATACAAAAAAACCCCACAAAACCCAAAATCAACACAAAAACCCCAACTCACCACAAAACCAAAAAAACCCCTAATGCTACATTGTATGTAACGAAAAGAAAAAGATGGGGCACGTATACCCCTAAAGTTTGCTGAGATTTTCAGAGAAGCAGTCTTTGTGTTAGTTGGACCCAGCTGAGATACAATTTTGCAGAATTCAAAACAACAAATCACTATTTTCTGAGAAGGAAGAAACAGGAAGGAAAGATGTGTAATGGTCACGTGCATTTTGTGAGACCTGGCCTAAACAGAACTAATCAAGGAGTTTATTGCTGCAGGTTCAATAACTTTTGAGTTCCCTGGCTCAAATTAAGGTGAACAAAGGTGGAAACTAGGGTGAGCTGCTTTTTGGCTAAAACCTACATCACTTGCATGGCATACACAAGGAAGGAGGGAATATGGAGGAGTAAGAGCAAAGATATTAGTTATTCCAAGCCTGCATTTCAGCTATAATCTCCATCTTGAAAATCTCTACAGAGAATTATTTATCACGTGCTAAGTTTTACCACAAGACTCATCACTAAGATAAACATCAAAAGAACATTTCAGTTAATATTCATTATAATTACGTACATGATGTTTGGCAAGTTCAATTTCAATAGCCTTGGGGTCTCCACCCACAGGTTTCTGTTCATTCAGCAAGTCTTCTGTATGTGTCAGCCACGTCAGTAACTCATCCAGGGCATGCTGGAACTGCCCCAAGGCTAACAAGGCACCTTCCAGCTTGTGCTATAAGTAAAAATAAAATTAACAATAAAATGGTTTCACAATGCTATTGAATTGGCTTATATTACTGTTAGTCACCATAATCCAGAGCAGAGTCCATGCATATGATAGCATAAAACCCAGGGAGAAACAGTTATCCAACACAAGCAACTGCTTTATAGTTAGAGCTGAGTTAGCAATTCCCCTGTAAAGCCTTACATTCCACGTTTAAATTCCTGACCTTTGAAAACCCCGTGCAACCAGAGCAGAGTTAAGTTTGAAGGTTCTCTCATCAGAGATATGACAATAGTTTTTCATCATTTAAAACATAATTTCAACATAAATGCAATTTGGTGCATGATCTTTTTAAAAACCTTTCCTCTGTCATGAAATGATTCAATTTAGAAGAAAAATTCACTTCAAAGCAAGGCATCTTTAAATCTCTGTTTCACTTTGATAATTTAAAGAAAGAGCACTGAAACAGTTTAATATTAGGTGTCTGGTTTTTTTTTTAAAGTGGTCAGTTCAGCAGCTAATACTACTTTTACACATATAAACATGTTTTCAACTGCTACTTAAGATGTCATCAAATAATCAAAATGAAATAATGGTTTGACATGGCACCACTGGCAGAGGAAGGGACAAAAAATACTGCTAAGGATTTAAAAACCATAAAAACAACTCAATTAATGGTAAAATTCATCTTCTATTATATATAGTTCTGTAATTTCCAAACCAAAAGGAATAAATGTGTAAATTGATAAAAACATTATACATCTTAAAAAGCTTTTCTCAAAAATCTAAGTCATAAATAAAGCCCCCACCTTCAAGTTTACTTACCTGTCTATTTATAATTTTTTCTTCTAGGCTGTCCCACATTAGTTTGAGCTCTGAGAGAGGGTCTTGAACGGTGTGCTTGTCACTTTCCTCTGTTACCTTCTTCAGCAATAGTTCTGCCTGATGGTTCAGTCTTTCCATTTCTATCTGCTGCTGATAAGCTTCTGTCTTAAATTGCTATGGTAAATAGAAAAAAATATAAACATACATATCATAAGTAATGATCTTCTGGAATATAGCATAGTACAGCAATATTTACAATACTAATGCATCGCTGTCAACTTTCATAAATTTGGGGGTTTGTTTTCCAGGGTCAAAATGCTCATAAGACACTGATAAACCAGACAGTCCCAGCTAACTGAAAATATGCAGCAATGTCTTACTATTCTAGCAGATATCGCTAACTGTGACCAGAGGATGATAAGGATGCCCAGCAGGAAAGTATTCTCCAATGATCTGTCTGGTCTGTATAAAATGCAGAACATATCTTGAGCAACTTCGAGCTATTGTGGCTGTGGTAATGTAATACTTTAAACTTCAAACAGAATTATTCTTCAAAAGAGCTGAAAGCGAATTTTCTTTAGTAGAACACCCTCTCTTGTACATGCAACTTGGGCAGCTGTCTGAATACAACTCGCATACACATGTTTTTCTGAACTATGTAAGTTTATGGTTCATGTGAAGTTACATCATAAAATAGATAGATCAAGCAACCTGCCCACAGCCAAAAAATGTACAAGTTAGCAACAAAACCAAGGACATTCCCTGATCATTATGCATCCCCGTTTCTTATATATAGCTAACAGCCTACCAATGTCAGGAGCATACTCAAGTCACAGATCCATACAGACAGGTTTCTAAGCTAGCCTAACATTTTGATTTTCAGCTTAGTCATGTTTTGGGAATGTTGTGATATGTGTGAGCATTTAGACAAAGCCTATAATGGCAGAACTGAAGCTTTGGAGGCATTCTCTCAGAGCCTCAGGGAAGCTGTTCATGGTAGAAACCAGAAAATGTAAAAGTCATAGCAAAAGAACCCTGTACATAACCACCTCATAGCCTTTGAAAGAGAATGAATGCTATTACAAGTATTTCTGGGCTATCAGAACAAAATAAAATGTAGCCTCACCAAAATTTGGAATAGATTTTAAAATGAAACACATTTTAAAACGAAAAGTTTGCAGGGAAATGTTATCTGAAATTTTCATAGATTCTTTTTTACTAGCAAGTGAAAATGAAAATTGCTTTTGACTCTTGAAAAATACAGAATTATACCAAACAACACAAAAAAATACAGACAAATTAAAATATAAAGGAAATAAATTAATAGTTCATACCTTAAGTTCCTCAGTTTGCTGCTTCACTGTCTCCAGATCTGTTCCAACTGGGGACATAGATGCTAACTTGCTGCCAGCAATGTCGACCCAGTCAAATATTGCCTGAAAAATCACAGTGTGAAATTGAAGCATGAGCAGAGAAACAGTGTCATATCTGAAATAGTGTCATATTTGAAAGTCGTATTAAGTAAAATATCAGATTTTTTTTTTTATTCCATAGAACAACATTGCTGTGCTCTTTGAAAGAAAATATCTTTCTTCGGTGAAACCTAGATTTCTTAGCAATACAAGGGATCAAATATTAACTAAAGAATTCCATGCAATGGTTACAAGAACGTACATGATGCAAATTAGCAGTAATATTCTGCTAGTACTATTCATGCTGAGTAATACTCCCCTTCCTGAGTAAAATGAGCAATTTTTTTGAATACCCTGAAAGGTAAACACAAGACAAACTCTGTTCTGCAGTCCTTTGGAGCAAAGATGCAAGGTGGTAGCTGAATGATAACACACTTTAACAGTCCTTTTGAAGGATGTTAACTATGTAAGGAACATGGAACACGACCCATTCAGTACATATGTGAAGGGCCATAACTGAGCTTGACTGAATCTCCATAGGATAATGCAATTAGAACTTTAAAAAACAAATTAAGTCTCTCAATTTCTGAGGCTCTGTGGGTACTACTTTTGCTCCTGATATAATGCAGAACAACCTCAGGAATAGTCCACTCTACAGATTAAGAACAGCTATATCAATATGGGTAATTGCATAGGGGAAAAAACACCTCTGCTAGGCCCTTTTCCTCCTCTCTGTTACCTACAATTCCTTATGGAGAAAGGCTTAGGACAGCTTGTCAGAGCTCCCCACTGCTACACAGCTCCTTGAGAAAAGGAGAATTACCCCCAATGAGCTTAACAGGATGAAGCAGCTGCAGCTAACAATCTGTCCACAATAGTTTTCATATTGTCTATTGAAATGAGCATAAGAAGGCATTTAAGTACAGTTCTTTCACAAAGTACCAAGGCTTGCAGGATGTACAATGTACAGCCACAGGAAATAGAAAGCACTTAAACCAATGGCTATGTTCCCAGTGTAACCCTACAAGCCAGCAGTATGAACATAAGAGAGCTTGGAGAAAAATACCTAGTGAGGGTGCACTGGAAAACAAGCATCTTGCATTATTATTAAGGAACATTCTGCTGCTTGATCTCCCCTGAACACAGAAGCAACTGCCCTTGGTGTCATGTGAAACTCTTAACTTTAAAGATTTAATGAACCAAGAAAGACAATAATGCCACTGAGGAAAAAAATAGTTTTGCAAAATATGACCATGTTTGGAATCTTATCAAATGTTTCAATCTTCTAGCCATTCACTGGCAAAAGATATGAGGCATGCCACTCAGCCAAAACACGCAAAGAATATGAAAAAAACCAAAACCAAAACCCAAACACAGCACATATGAGAAAAGATACCTTAAAAAAAATGCTTGAAAATTTACCTTCTGATTTAAAAAATTAATCATCTTCTAAAGAATTATAATTGGACAAATTATACTAAGATTTAGTAAAATGGTCCAGCAACATTATGTTAATATTTTTTTGCTTAAGATATTAAAACTTAAGTATTTGACTTATGAAAAAGGTGGAATAAAATTGAAGTTCTTTCAATGTCCTCCACTCAAAGAAAATAGCAGCAAGTGAGTATATGGACCTATATTCTGTTCCTTTCAGATCATGTAAATGTGTCACAACTTCAACTCACCTATCACATGAAGCACTGACTATCACAAGAAAATTTGGGCAAGATTACTGTGAATTTGTGTGGTATCAAAAAAACTCTGCTCTTATCACTAAACAAAGGGACATTGATTTTGAATCTAAACGTAGTGCAGTATATGAACAACTACATGAAGAAAGCAATGCAGTGTACTCAGAGCTCAGTTGAGAGGGATTCCGTGGGATGCTTCCATGAAGGATAAAGGAGCTAGTGAGTGCTGGAAGTTCTTCAAGAACACACTCTTGGAAGCACAAAACTAGTTTATCCCCTATAAAGGAAAAGGGATGCAAGCAGAGTAAGAGGCCCCCTTGGCCCAACCATGAGCTCCCAGGTCTGCTCAAAACCAAAAAAGCAGCTATACCAGGAACAGAGAAAGTGGAAGATTATCTGTTGAGAACTACAAAGGCATTCACAAAGCATGCAGAGATGCAGTTAGAAAAGAAAAAGCTCAGCTTGAATTGAAACTGGCCAGAGATGTCAAAAATTACAAGAAAGGGTTCTTCAGGTATGTAAACTACAAGCAGAAACAGAAGGAATACACAGGCCCTCTGTTAAACAGAAGAGGTGAACCAGTCACCAGCCATGCCGAAAAGGCAGAGGTTCTTAACAGTTTCTTCACCTTTGTCTTTACCAACACTGTCAGGTACCAGGCTTCAGGAATGAAAATCCAGGTTGATCCAACCATAGACCCACCATCAGTGAAGGAAGAGTTAATATGTGAGTTATTACAGGAGCTTGACCCCTATGAAATTGATGGGCCCTGACGCCATCCACCTCAGGGTGTAGAGAGAGCTGGCTGATGTCATTGCAAGGCTGCTCTCCCAGAGGACTGGGAGGAAGGTGAATGTTACCCCTATCTACAAGAAGGGCTCAAGGGAGGATCCGGGTAATTATAGGCCCATTAGTCTTATTTCAGTCGCCCAGGAAAGTTATGGAATGAATCCTCCTGGGGGGCATCACAAGTCAAATGAGACACGTGATTGGGAAAAGCCAACACGGCTTCACTAAGGGCAGATGGTGCTTGACAAATCTGGTGGCCTTCTGCGATAAAGTGACCTGCTCAGTTGACATGGGGCAAGCAGTGGACATTGTCTATCTGGACTTCTTCAAGGCTTTTGATATGCTTCCCCATGGCCCCCTCCTGGAGAAATGCATTATGGCCTAGACAAGTAGTCTGTGTGCTGGGTGGGGAATTGTCTGACTGGCTGCACCCAGGGTGGGGTTAAATAGCTCTTTTTCTAACTGGCAGCCTGTCACAAGTGGGGTCCCCCAGGGACTGATATTGGGCCCAACACTCTTTATTATCTTCATAAGTGATCTGGATGATCAGACGACACCAAGTTGAGTGGGGAAATAGACACTCTGGAAGGGAAAGCCACCCTGCAGGAAGACCTGGATAGGCTGGAAGAGTGGGCTAGCAAGAACCTTATGAAGTTCAACATGGACAAGTGTAAGGTCTTGCACCTGGGAAAACACAGTCCAGGAGTGCAGCACAGGCTGGGATCCACTCAGCTGGAGAGCAGCTCTGTGGAAA